AGAGAGAAAGAGAGAGGGAGAGACACTCGACGTAGACGGAGGAAGAGAGAGACTACACTAAGTTGGACCTTGATCATTAAAGTTGTCTGCTGCAGCTTCAGTTTGTCCCTAGCGACTGGAGTCATGTTTTTCTTGTATAACCGCGTGAGCGCATCATCGCAGTGAGCCTTCGCATGACAGTTTGACGCAGCGAGTAATCACGTTTCGCATTCCTTTTCTTCTCGAAAGGACTAGCGCACACTTTACGCCTAATAGGGCGATCGGACTGTGCATCGTGACGTGTGCGCCTGGCTTGCAGAATGGCACATGGCAGTACTAGCGCGCAGTTTACGCCTGACAGGGCGATAGGGATGCGCATCGTGTTGTGTGCGCCCGGCGTGCAAACCGGCACTCGTTGGTACGGTGGCGGCACGGTGTGCAGCACGAGCCCGGCACTGATGTTACGGTGACGGCACTGTACGCGGCGTGGGCCCCAGCCGTCACGGCAGCCGGCCATGTTGGCACGGCCATCAGCTGCCGCGCAGCAGCATTGACGGCTCAACCTTACGGCACAAACGTGATGGCGCCCGGCAGCCATAGGCACCGCTGGCATCATGCGGCAGGCGGTGCGGCAAACACAACGCCGAACGGCAGGGGATCGGCAGGGGGTCGGCAGTTAACGGCATGAGTGCGGCACTGGAGATGCCTGGTCGGCATGGGTGCGGCACCTGGTCGGTTCATAGGAAATTTTGCGATGCTCTTCGACATTGCCTGGTTCCGCACAACATCATTACACCTTCGTGATCGATCATAGAAGATTTTGTTTGCACATCCTTTTTATTACTGTGTTCGGATCCTCAGACTCGTAACCCTCCCATCATTGGATATTGTTTCCAACAGGTCCTTACCTGTAATTGCAGCTTTACTCCCATCTCAACCTGTACCAGAATGGTCCACCTTGTGGATCCTGTAATTGCAGCTTTACTCCCATCTCAACCTGTACCAGAATGGTCCACCTTGTGGATCCCCTCATTCTTTTTGAGGAAAAGGTGAGCTCCATTCTGATACGCGAGGATCTGATGTTGGAATTGTGCATTTTGATATGGGAAGAGTCAATGTTGAATCTGTGTGAGAACCGTTGAAATATGGTTGTTGTTTGAATATGACTCTGTTAGAGTTGGGCCTCCACATTCATGATCGAGGTCTCCAAGGTTGAAGGCCTCCAGGTTTGATGCAGGTTGTGGCACATGCCTTGATCTTGAAATCAATCTGAGTAGATGATTCAATTTTATTACTTGCAGATAGTTAGTTGCAGAACGGGTAGTAGCAACACAAACGCATTGCAGTATGCTGATATCTTCCAATTGGGTTTAGGAACATTGTCTGTGCAGGACGTGACAGACGCTGACCTCAAACCCATTCTTGCGGCTTTGGCGGAGGTGGATGATACTGCTGTACGGAGTATAGATGAGCAAGTACAGAAACGCAAATTGGTAAGAATTTTCATTCACCATTTTCTTAAGCAAGTCTCTTATACTATTGCTGACATGCCAGTTGTGGTTGTTCCGAGAGTGGTTGTTGTGAGAGGTTCATTGAAAATCGGTTGCCCTTGATTCAGAGTCCCTCAAAGCAGGTGTGAACTGCTTTGCCTACTTCTTGAACTTCACATGACATAAACTTGATTAGTTGGATAACCATTTTTGTTTTTTCCCCTTTTTACAGGCGGAAAAAAGTGCAGAGTTCGAGCTCACACACCCTACTGGCCCCTTCACCCATGCTCACGTCGTCAACACCCAACCCTATGCCATAATTGTGGTGGCAATAAGGGAGAAGGAAATGCGGCGCCTGCAACAAATCAACATGACGGGGGGTGGAGGTCCGACATCACTTACAGTCGGACTTGGCTTGCAGTGGGCTTTCCAGTCGGGTAGAGTCGTCCAGTTTTGGACGTTCCCGTACCAGCCACTTCAACTGCCTGACAACTCGGCATATGTAGTGGCTTCACCCATTTCATCAAACGGGTGAAATGTTGGTAGCTCAAGTGGTGAGGCATGGGCGTACATTAATCGTGGATAACGCAGACATGCCCATGCCAGATCTCCGCAACATGGTCATGAATTTTGCCAACTAGGTAGCTGAAAAGGCAAAGTGTATCTTGTAAAAATAGATATGGTGTTTGAAAGACTGAAACAGCTGAAAATTAGTAGAAGTAAGAGGCTTCTGTACATTAACTGTGAATATGACATAGGTAGTTAAGTACTGTACATTAAGTGTGAATATGAGATAGGTAGTTAAAAAACGTTAGTGTATTTTGGAATTGTCGGAAAGTGTTTTGAAAAGTCTGACGATGGAGAGAATATCAAACCGAAAATAATTTTGTACATAGAATTGTATATATGATGAAATAACCTGGGAATGCGATACAATAAGTAAACAAACGACATGACGCCAATTGCAAACGATCAAATCAATGCCTAATGGGAGTTTTGGCAAGCATGTGAATTACAAAACAAATGCCCACGTGAACTACGTGGCTTTCTCCCAAAATCCTCATGCAAGAGCACGTGCCCTACACATGCCAGACTTACTCTTTGGTGTAGGCAAGTTCTGAAAGGGTGTTGTTTTGCGGTCAGAAAGACTCGTTCATTTTGGAGAAGAGAATCAGACAACATGGCGGATGATAGAGGGCTTATCGTCGACATGGAAACACCATCAGGAGAGAGAGGCAGCGCTTGAAGAACGAAATGCAGCGCTTGAAGAACGAAATGCAGCGCTTCGCCGAGTTACAGTGCTTGAAAGGGAGAGGTATGTCGCCATGTTGACAAACAGATGTATCATAGAACACCTGTCAGTGGAAACAACCTACTTTCGTTGGATGCCGCTTTAAAGTTTCTAGTCAAGAGAGTCTGACGTCAGCTGCATGAATTGGGGACCATGGGGAGCACGTGTTTTTAAAAGTGGTTCCAGGTGCAGTATGAATTGTGGAGCAGCACAGTCTATTCGGGTTTGCACACAAGAGCTTAGTCCATTGACCTCTCTCCTGCAGTTCAGGGAGCTTTCGAGCTTACAGCTTATAATAAAGGCAGAGGAGGTTGCAGATTACGAGCAACAACAGGAATTTAGGTGGCTCGCAAAGGCAAGATGGGATGTCATTTTGGACTTGCACATAAAGACAGAGAATGATGACGTCCTGGACTGGTTGTTTGGTCTTGGAAGAGTGGTCATCAACCTTTTTAGCCATCATTGGGAAGATACAGAGGGACAAAGAATATCTGAGGGCAGTCTTGAGTACAGGCCTTCTGATGTAGAGAATGGGCTCGAGTGTGCTGAAGTGCACCTAGACTCGAAGCAGAAGTGGACAGAGTCGTTTGCTAGGGCTGTTGAGGAAACTGAGTGGCTCGACAGTTTGAAAATAGTATGGGTTGACAAGCCAGATGAACAAACGGGCGAATAGACTCCCAAAAGGACACATTGTTATCTAGCTTACACAAGTCCTTTGCAGGTTCATGGTTTGCTTTTATTTCACACACAAACACGGATAACAAGCCTTTTTCAAAAGCTTTGGTAAGAATGAGAATGTCATGTAAGGCCTCCTAGAGAGAGGCTTTGAAATACTCATGCGCTCCGTGTTGCGTGGTGTACAATAAATTCAATATTCACAGGAAAGTACATGAGATTGTTGCAGTTCATTACTAACATATAATGGATGGTATGGCTGATTACCTTCAAAAGCTTTGGTTCTGATTGTCGAGTTAGTTTGCCTAGAGAAGAGCTTCAAAGGGGACTCAGTGTGAGCCGTCTACTACAAGCTACATACCTTACTACTGCTATTCAGAACTCTAGGGCTTACAGGATGGGCTCAACGTTCCATTCCGGGATGATCCAGTGCTTCCCCTCTGCTGCAGCTCTTCCTTCTAGCAAAGGCTCCAAGGTTTGGAGGAAGAGGTGCTGGTCTAGTGCATTACAGGGGCTCAAGATTTTCCGTTTGGAGGCTGGAGAACGCTGCCCGTTTGCAGATCATAGAGAGTGACGCAATGTGGCGACTTGTATGGTTCCCCTTTGGCAGCCCCTTTCGACCAGAACTCTACACCAGTGGAGGAAGAGCAGCGGCCAAACTGAGCAGCAGTAGAATCCATGAATGCTATCTGACTAGCTCCAGCTGCAGTCCTGAGCTCAAGACGCGCCCGCTGGTGACCGTACGCCCTCCTCCCCTGCTTGTCACGACCAATGGCCTCTGCCACCAATGTCAACGTGGCCCCAATCCCTCTTTCTCCAGCTCATAGGCGAGAGCGTTGCGGATAGGACCCATGTACACCCCGCTTATGACCTGAAGACTCTCTACGGAGCACAGTCCCAGCGAAGCTGACTTGACGTAGAAAGGTTTCTTGACCTATCCTTGATCTCTGGGTGAATGCGCAGAGGGCTAGAGGGAGGCATCAAGTGGACGCAGAGGGGGTTGACTGAAGACATCACCTCTGCCAGCTGAGCTTGCCTGCTGTTTGTGGCGCCCTTGCCAAAATACTTTGCTTTCCCCTCTGTCAGCGGCTTCACGTCCATCTCGTACCGCAGGTTCGACTTGCGCACCCAAGGACAGGGTGATCTGCCGCACTCTCTGCTGGACGGCATGAGCTAGACTGATAATGTCGTTTCTTTCCCTTGGCACATAGTCTGAGGTCCACACGTCCTGCAGCACGTCCCTGGCAGCAGCGAGCTTGCGCTTCTGGGAAACCCTTAGCGCCATTGCTCCCTCCTGCCTCTAACAGCCGCACCTGAGTGCCTTTCTCTCCTAACAGCTCTATCTCTCCTAAGCTCTAGCCTCTGAGCCTCACTTTGAATGAGAAATTGACCAGTGTTTAGAGAGTTGGGATTTGGATTTGGACGGGAGTGATGTTCACCTGTCCAAACAAGTCGGGCGCATGTCCAGGCAGCCTGTTACTATGACGGGAATGAGCCGAGGCGTGCCCGATCTATACGGGCACGTGCAGATTTGTGACGTACAGGGTGTCGTGACCAAAAACGTTGCCGTAATCCGCTTGAAAGGCCATGGTAATGCTACCGTTACCGATGGGAAGCAATTTTGGGTCTAACAGCCTTGCACGTGTTTTGCCAGCACATGCCGAGCGAATGGGCCGAAGCTTACTTTTAAAGCTATGGTAATGGTAGGGTGGACTGTCCTTTTGTCCGCAAACGTTGGGTGTGTGTCCAGGCAAGCCTGGCACTTCGACGGGAGTAGGCTGAGGTGTGCCCGACATTCGCGGACATTGCACTTGGGGTGACATGAACGAAACGAGGCCCTTATTTTCCCGCAATGTGTCAGAGGCAAGGCCATGGTCTGAAAAGTTGGGCCGCAATAAGCTATCCACGTGTTTATGAGCTGTAAGCTTACCGGGAAAGGAGTGCCCTCTCTAAGTCCGAGAGGTGCTATATCAAGTTAAGAGACTTGTCTCCATTCCGAAATCGAATCTCTAAGTCTACCTCCGGGGCCCTTGTAGTTGACCGGGGACAGCCAAGAGCTTAGAGGTTAGAATCTTTAACCGGGCACTAAACCTCAAAGGCCCCATACCCCCCGACCGGAGTAGGGTCTCCCCGTTTGGCTGTGCCCCCTGGAGTTCAGCTTACCCATGCCAGTAGAATGAGAGGCTTTGGTGGACATGTGCAGACTGTATGAAGACCCAAGATATTTCCTTGGAATGAACAAGACATGGACGCAGTTTCATAAGCATCGCCTGGACAAAGCCCTAAAAGGGCGCGAATAGATCATGGATGGCCTGCACTCCTTGATCAACGATCCACATGCTGCAAACTGAACATCTGGACACAACATGCATGTTTGGACGTCACATTCTCTGTGAAATATGTCAGGTGCGGATGGGTGACTGTAAGGAGGTACCGGGTGATACACGTGGTAGCTCACGGTTGATAGGACTTGTCGGGGGTTCAAACAGCAAATTTCAACATCGACCGGCTGCCTGATGATGAGGAACTGCGGCGCATGGCTGCCCACTCACCACACGGAATATTGTGGTCAATTGTACATCGAATATGCCCGCCGGCCGAGCCTCTCGAAGTAGTGCGGCTCGCTTTTGATGATAAAAGGCTCTTTGACTTGTATGTCTACAAGCCGCTAGAAAGAAAGCCCGCAAACATACGCAAAGGCACTGCGAATGTACTGCGTGATTACACTGAATTTCTGGATGCCAACTGGTGTCCTGTTGAGCGGCAAAACAAAGAGGTCTCTGACTATGGGTATATGCTTAGCGATATACGGAAGGACGGTACCGTCCTAAAGGTGATTCACCGACAAGCAATTAAGGAATGGATATCAAAGCCCCCAGTTACGGCGCGCAATCTACTCACAAACCGTCTGCTTGATTTTGCAAACATGCGAACCTTGCGTGCTCATAAACAAATGTCACTGTGAGTCTGCCAACAATTGTGCCCCGACCTTACCTATTCCAGTGTCGTAGGCTTAGCGCACAACCCCATTTGATATCGGCTCCTTCATCACCTAGGGGTGACGAACCTTGAGGCCACTTGCACCGTGCTCTCACGCACTGACCGCTCCGCAGTTGAGGAGCCCAGGCTGCCCAAGTACCCAGACGACCCCTCCGAATCCCATATCTCTTCCTGTCTAAAGCTCGCGTCCACGACTGAGGCTCGAGCAAGGAGCGAGCCAACATCTTCCATGGTGGGCCTTGCGGACGGGTCCGTCCGCAGGCATGCCAGTGCGACGTGGATATAGTTCCGCGCTTCCTCCGCCTCGGAATTTCTCCCAAGAACCGGGTCCACAAGCTCCAATTCTCTCCCCTCGGTAACCAGATTCATGGCGACTTTCAGGAGCCGCTCTATGACTCCGCTCTCAAGCTGACGCACTGCGGGGCGCTCGCTGATGAGCTCCAGCAACAACATTCCAAAGCTGTAGACGTCGCACTTCGGGGACAGGAAGCGGGCACCCCCGTGCAGGTACTCGGGGGCCATGTATGGAACCGTGCCCTTGACCATGGTCGACGTCTTCCCCCCCGTGTCTTGCACCAGATGCGCGAGGCCAAAGTCGGCAATGCAGGCATTGATAGGGTCGGCTTCAGTCAGAAGGATGTTGGCGGCCTTGATGTCCCGGTGCACCATGGGTGGGCGAATATGGTTGTGCAGATAGATAAACCCCTGGCAAACCCCCCTGGCTATGTTCATCCGATCCCCCCAGATCAGCACAACCTCCCCTGCACCAGGATGGTGAAGCTGCCTGTCCAGGCTCCCACGGGGGAAAAAGTCGAAGATCAGCAACCGCTCCCCTCTTTCCACGCGAACCCCGAGGAGGGGCACCAGGTTCACGTGCCAGACCTTATCCAGAGCCTCGACTTCCGCTTTCCACGACTGCTCCTCGACGTCTCTGCGCCCTGGCCTCGTCTCTAGCCGCTTGATTGCGACAAAGGACCCGTCTTGGAGGACGCCCTTGTAGACCGTGCCGAACGAACCCCTCCCGAT